CGGGGGGGGGCGCCGGGGCCGCTGCGGGGTCACGTGGGGCGGTGGGCTGGGACCTGGGCCTCCCCTGGCGCCTCGAGTGGGGTCCGTCACGGGTGACCCCCTGCTGAGGGTAGAGGCGTCTGGGGGTCCTCAAGGGCGGCCCCTGGCTGTGTAGGGGCCCCGGAGCGCGGCCACTCACTTTGCCCCCCCCTCCTTAAAACACACGAAAGCATGCTCCCTCCACTCGCCTGGAAGGAAAGGGTCCACCTTTCCCGGGAAAGGTCTTGCTTTGCTCCAGCCTCTCCATCAGGGGAAAGCCCTGTTTGCCCCCAACACAGTCCGATTTAAGCCCGCCCCTCAGGAAGAAGGGACTTTGGGGGGAAATATCCTTCTTGAGTGTGGCAAAGGGACCCATTTGCTGCCAGAGCAGCCAAGCACTTATGCGAAATGGGGAGGGTGGGTTTGGAGGCTGGCTCTTTTCGATACTTCCGGTGGCCTTTAAGCGTGGTCTGTCTGTTTTTGGGAAAGGGGAAGGTCCCACTGCAGTGTTATTGAGTCTTGATGACAACATGGAGGTGTCACATGCTGGTGGGACTGACCTCCCCAGCTCCATTTGCGTCTTCCCCAGGGGCCTGGAGGGGAGGAGGCCTACAGAACGGGAAGACTTTTGCCGCCCTTTTGGGAAACAGACCCCAGTGGGCCGAGTTTGTCCCAGTGCCTCCAGGGCAGGGTGGGAGGTCCCGTTAGGCGAACACCCAGTTCCTGCCCTCTTTGGTCTGTGGCTTTCTCACCTTTGGAATGGGCTAGTGTTCCAATGGACATTTCATTTGCTTGCCCACTGAACTGTCTTGAATGAGAAGAAGCTATAACTGGAGGAGCTGGTGCTTTGTTGGGGTGGGATAAGATACCCATCTAGTAGCCCAAGAACTTTGCTGAAAGTGTTTTTAAAATATTGAGAGAGGTGAAAAGATTAGATTTTTAGTTCCTGGTTTGTGTTTCTTTGGAAAACTTCTAGTAATTCCACAAATGGGCTCTGTTGTTGGTTGTATTGGGTTTATTTGAAGTTGCTTGTTCTTGTGGCTAAATTGTAACATGTGTTCCAAAAGGGTCTTTTTTTGTTCAAATGTAGATTTCAGACGCCCTGAAGCAAAAACTTCCCTGAGATTTGTTCCACAAATGCAAAGATTCTGAGGGTGAGGGAGATACAGGAAAGTTGTGCCTTTCAGTATCCCAGAAGAACCATGCTACAGTCCTACTTTCTAGTTCCCTGCAGCCCTCCCTTGTAGAGAAGACCTGAGGACCTTCCATGGCACCGAATGTCTGTTCTTTTCACCCCTAGGACAAGCCGGTGTGGGTTACAGTTTGGCCACAAACAACTTAGGCCCAAATCCCATCGAGAATGGGAGTTTTGAAATTCCTAGATAACTCTTGTACTCTGAGGCCTTAGGTGAAAACCCTTTCTAGAATGCCTTAACCAACAGGCTCTTTCTAAATTAGGGGGTAGCCACTCCCAGGCCAGACAGGAAGACAGGACAACTGGAGAGGTTCTGAGAAGTTGATCTGAGCACCATGGAGGGTTTTTTTGGTGGAAATTCGTCTGTGCTTACAATTTCATTTCTAGATTGCAGCCAAAATTGGAGGCGACGCTGCTACAACTGTGAATAATAGCACTCCTGATTTTGGTTTTGGGGGCCAAAAGCGGCAGTTGGAAGATGGAGGTAACTACCTGCTGGAAGGAAGGGCTGGGGGTAGAGAGTGAGGTGCCTTTGTTTGAATGTGGTTCAGAGTGAGGGGGAAGCCCGCTGCTGTTCGGTCTTTTAAAACCTCAGCAATTCCAGCTTTGTTCATTCTTTTTGTTGGGCCGCCATTCTGAGGTATCAGGTGGCTGAGAGGAGGGCAGATTGACTGTGGCTAGGTCCAAGTTGTAAGTTCTCAAGATCGTTCCTCCCCTTCTGGTAGGCTGGGGAAATGCTTGCACCTTTTTTGAGGCCCCGTGTAAGTAACGTTTGGCTGGCCCTGGGGCATGTGGCATTACCCACGGTAGCCAAAATGATGAAGTGGGTGGCCAGCTGACATTTTTCAACCAGGACCCCACTGCCTGAGGCAGGTCCAGTCCTAAGCTGGAAAGACTCAAGTGCTGCCAACATTGTTCCCTTGTTATAAAGGGCTTTTTTACCCTGAGTGCTGGTGGTGGGATTAATGAAGTCTGCCTCCCTCTGGGCTTGGTCTCTGCTACTCTCCTGTCTCAGCTCTGATGAGGGTGGGGTGGGGGGTGATCGTTTGCCAGAACATGTGGCACCAGCATCAGATTTGAAGCAGCTGTGGGTGGGTGGGTGCTGCATCTGACATCCTCCTTCTTTCACAGACCAACCAGAGAGCAAGAAACTGGCTTCTCAGGGAGACTGTAAGTCCGTTGGGTGACACAAGCAGAGGGCAGCTTCAGGGTCTTAAGAGTTTGTTTGGAGTCGGAGTTGGGAGCTAGGAGCACTGAGCACCTAGCCTTTATGGAGGCTCTGGGTGTTCATCATCTGGGGTCTCTGAGCTTTAGGGTGCCCAGTGACTATGCTCTTAGGAGCAGGGCTTGAGTGCTCAAGAGGGCTTAGCCTGTAATAATGCTAGTCGCCCCCGTGTAGGCAGGAGCTCCTGGGGCCAGGGGTGTTTGGGGTCCCAGAGAAAAGCCAGGCCAATCTTGCCTTTGGATTTTCTCTCTGCAGCCATCAGTTCTCAACTTGGACCCATCCATCCTCCTCCCAGGTAAGTTGTGATTGGGAGAACACGTCATTTCCTTGTCTGTCACCTGTCTCTGGCCTTTCTTACTGACTTGGGGGAGAGCTCTGTCTGTGGGCCGCACCATTTAGGGCTGGTCCACCAGAGAGCAGACCAAGAGGCAGAAGGCATTGCCTTCATCCCTGTACTTACCTGTCTGCAGGACTGGAGGGACGAGGGGGGTATGGCAGTTAGCTATAATGATGGAAAGGTGGTCTCTGCGCCCTGGTGCTTGCTTTGTTGGAGTGGCGACGCTAAGAAAGCCCAAATTACCTGTCTTCCTAGAAAAGGCGGTTTATTTTTTTGTTTTTTCCCCATCTGTTTTCTGCAAATGCCTGTTTCCTGAGAGCTGGCGGAGCCTGATGGGGGTCTTTCCTGCCTTTTTGCCACCCAGACTTCAGTGGATCTGACATAGAATTCTTTGTGAAGGACCACATTATTTCTTTTTTTTTCTTCTTAATGGACCAGAAGTTTTATAAGATAATACAAATGACTGTGAGGAAAATGAGATGAAAAAGATACAAAATTAGTTTTTTTTAAAAGTCAGTAGATATAAAATTATTCCATCAGATTGCTACGAAAGTGTTCCAAGTGTCTCTGTCCCTGAGTCAGTATGACAGCACTGGCTCAGGGACCATGCTACCCTAGAATAAGTCTTTCGTGGCTCAGGTGGCGAAACTGAGGCCTCAAGAGGTGAAGTGACCCACTGTGGAGAGAGGGAGCCCTGGCCCCCATGCTGTTAGATCTTCCTTAGGGGTCTTGTTCCCATTATAGGAAGCAGGGTCAGAGGCCAGAAACATCGGGGAGTCACTTTTCCAGGGAGACCCCCTGGCTCTTCATCCCTCCTGCTTCTTTCCCATTTGAGACTGACCTTCCTTGTTTCTTTTTGCAGGACTTCAATGACAGAGGAGTACAGGGTCCCAGACGGCATGGTGGGACTAAGTGAGTGTGGGTCACTGTGGTCAGGAGCTCCTGTTATCCCCCTCTCTGGGAGAGTGTCCTGGGAACCCCTGCCAGCCCAGAAGCCTTTGATCTGAAAGGGCCTCCCGTATTCTGCTCTCACCTGTTCTCTCTTGGCAGGGAGGATGGTGGAGCTCTTGACATAGCTACTGCCCCCCACCCCAACATCAGCAGGACCGTGAACCCCCACCACCCAGTTGTCTTAGTGCTGGCTCCTTCCGTCAGTCTCTGATTTTCTCCTTTCTTCTCCACCTAGTCATTGGCAGAGGAGGCGAGCAGATTAACAAAATCCAGCAGGATTCGGGCTGTAAAGTCCAGATCTCGCCAGGTATGAGTGAGCCCAATTCGTGCCAGAACGGGTGCTGGGCTGGGGCTGGCTTTTTGCCCTTCAGTAATCCCCTAACTTTTGCCATGACTGGATAGATGTGAAATGGGCTGGCGTTTGTTTATTGTATCGTTGGTTTGTTGAGCACTTTCTATGTGTCAGGTTCAGTACAGCTTCTCTGCTAGTACAGCACCTCGAGATGTAACTGCAACTTTTGTTTTCATTTTGCAGTTAACGGGGAGGGCTTAGGGGGGAGATCTAAACTTGATCACAAGGAGTCTGGTTCCAAACCTACTATGAACTGTTACATTAAGTTGCCACCTAAACTAAACACCTAGTCAAAAACAAGTGGCAATACGGGAGGCACATTAGAAAGAATAGCTTTGAGGTGGGGCCTGGGTTTGAATCCCCACTCTGCCTGCTTGTCTGCAGGTGGCTGCTTTGCTGGATTTTCTGAGGACTCGCTCTAGCAGAGTGTGGAGCTTGTTGACTAGAGGGTGTGCAAGTGATTGTCAGTGGTGGCGGGAGTGGCCCTGTGTTTGGACCCTGTAGAATCTGCCTCTTCTACCTTACTCCCTAAAAGCTCTTCTTCCATTATTGGACTTCAAGCTTCCTGACTGTGGCCTTTTGTATAGAGCAGCCTCCCAGGTGTTTGGGGAGGTAAATTGATTTGTCAGGCTACTGAATGGTGGCAGAAGTGGTCGTTGATTGTTCTGGAAGTTTCCTCAACTCCACTGAAGGCCTTTCCAGGGTCCACAGACACGGGAAGGCAATGAGCCTATCTCCTCTTCTCTCCAGACAGTGGTGGCCTCCCCGAGCGCAGTGTGTCCTTGACAGGAGCCCCAGAATCTGTCCAGTAAGTGCCTGGCTGGGCCTGTCATGATGGGAGTGGGCAGACGCCCTCTCTATCCCTTTGAAAGTTGGAGGAGACTCCCACACCATGTCCTTACACCCCAGCCCCAGGGACTGTACTTTCTTCCTCATCATCTGTCAGACGCAGATGTTGGAGTCACCTTCCTTTTGAGTGGGGGGGAAGGGACGCCAGGCCACTGCTCTTTCAAGTGACAATACCCCATTCTTCCCCTTCCCAGGAAAGCGAAGATGATGCTGGATGACATCGTTTCTCGGGGTCGTGGGGGCCCCCCAGGACAGTTCCACGACAACGCCAATGGGGGCCAGAATGGCACAGTGCAGGAGATTATGATCCCTGCTGGAAAGGCGGGCCTGGTCATTGGCAAGGGCGGAGAGACCATTAAGCAGCTGCAGGTGAGGGCTGGTGGGGCCAAAGGCTTACACACCCCACCAGCTGCTTTGCCACTTTTTACCCTTTTTGATCATGGACCCCCTACATCAAGTGTACTGGTCGCCAGAAAGTCCTTTGAAAACCCCGCACTGACAGTCAACATTGGTTTTAAAGGAACGAGCTGGAGTGAAGATGATTTTAATTCAAGATGGTTCCCAGAATACAAATGTGGACAAACCTCTTCGGATCATTGGGGATCCTTACAAAGTGCAGGTGAGTGCACCCTGCGGGTGGTGGGGGTTCTGGAGTAGTGAGGGCTGGCAGACAGGTTGGGGATTTATTAAGTGAAAGTAGAGACGTTTTCAAGAGCGCTGACTTTGGAGTCAGCCCAGGACTCAGTGTTCTCATGCTGAACACTCCCTCCCAGTGGTCTGTATGGAAATAAGTGGCCTAAATTCTGATCCTCTGTTTTCCTATCTGGAAAATGGAGGTGCTGGTCATGCCTGCCTCTCAGGGTGGCAGTAAAGAGCTCTCAACACCTTTGTGTCAGTCCTTAGCTTAGTTAGGCCTGAGAGCCCTTGGTTTGTGGGAGCTGCGAGCTACATTGGGGCAGCAGGGCTTGCCATGTGCACCATGCTCTGTGTTTGCAGCAAGCCTGCGAGATGGTGATGGACATCCTCCGGGAACGCGACCAGGGCGGCTTCGGGGACCGGAATGAATATGGATCCCGGATTGGCGGGGGCATTGATGTGAGTGTGGGCCTCCCTAGGGATGGAGGGCCATGGGGTGTGGGTGGGGGCTACTCATGGCCAGTAGACAGCAGAGGGCAGCTGAGCTGTGGGGGCGAAACCTGGCTGACGCTTCTGTTTCCCTCCTTCCCTCCCTCACACCCTCTTCAGGTGCCAGTGCCCAGGCATTCTGTTGGCGTGGTCATCGGCCGGAGCGGAGAGATGATCAAAAAGATCCAGAATGATGCTGGTGTACGGATCCAGTTTAAACAAGGTCAGGGTCGAGCCATATGGATGGGATCCTATTAAGATCACCCTGAAGGTCTCCTTCAGGCAGCTTGGCACCATAGTTAGCCTGCTGAGCCTATTGGCAGTGCCTCATTACTTCTAGACTTTTTCTCCCTCCTCTGTGGCACAGCCTGTGAGAGAGTTGGTCCTGGGCACACTTTCCAGGTCCAAAGGGAGTTTGTTTTCCTCTCCTATTGAATCTTACTCCTTTCCTCTCCTCCACCAGTGGCCTACCCTGACAGGGCAGCTTGGGTAACTTGGGCACCCTGCGGTGGGTCAGATCACTGCCCTGACTCTGGGCTTCTACTAAGCCTGTGAGAATCCCTGAGGGCAGGTCTGTGGGGAGGAGGGGACCCCTCTGTTATTTTCCAGAGATTGTTTTTAGTTTTGTAAAATGGATCCATTAGCTCTAGGGTTTCCAATTGCAGCTGCCCTGCTTAGCTGGTGGGTTTCCTTCTTGGGATGTGGGCCCGCTGGCCTCCTTCCCCACTCCTGAATACACGGAGTGTGGCAAGTGACTGAGCCTGAGATGTCTCAGGCACCTAGGTTGGCACATTGCCTGCCCTGAGGAGGCATTGGTTTGGAGTTGTGCTTCTCTTTTGAATTTGTGTCCCTACCCTCTGGGTGCTGGCCACAGATGATGGGACAGGTCCTGAGAAGATAGCTCACATAATGGGGCCCCCAGACCGATGCGAGCATGCGGCACGGATTATCAATGACCTCCTCCAGAGCCTCAGGGTAAGTGGCACAGGGTAGGTGAGAGGCCTGGTGGGGACTGAGGGGACTGGCCCAGTTTCCTGCATTCATTTTCCATCTCCTTCCTGTCTTGCAGAGTGGCCCCCCAGGCCCTCCAGGGGGTCCTGGCATGCCCCCTGGGGGCAGGGGCCGAGGAAGGGGCCAAGGCAACTGGGGCCCTCCTGGTGGGGAGATGACCTTCTCCATCCCCACTCACAAGTGTGGGCTAGTCATCGGCAGAGGTGAGTAGGCCCCTCCTTAACCTTCATCCCTCATTTACTCTCCTGCTCCTCCTGCCCTCTTTTCACTGCCTGTGTCCCCTGCAGGTGGTGAGAACGTGAAAGCCATAAACCAGCAGACGGGCGCCTTTGTAGAGATCTCCCGGCAGCTGCCACCCAATGGGGACCCCAACTTCAAACTGTTCATCATTCGGGGCTCACCCCAGCAGATTGATCATGCCAAGCAGCTCATTGAGGAGAAGATTGAGGTGGGCTCGGGGAGGGTTCTGGGAGCCTGGGCCTGGTTCCTATTTCCCACCCACTGACTTTGTCCCATTCTCCTTCCTCCAGGGTCCCCTCTGCCCAGTTGGACCAGGCCCAGGGGGCCCAGGCCCTGCTGGACCCATGGGGCCCTTCAATCCCGGGCCCTTCAATCAGGGTCCACCGGGGGCTCCCCCTCAGTGAGTATTTCTGCCATCTGCCTGGGATTTGGGACATGGGGATTGCAGTGCTGGCAAGAAGAGTGACAGGCCCCATTGCCATTTCGATTCACCACCAAGAGGTCTATCCCTGCCTTTCAGAAGCGCTGAGCGTTCGGGCCCCAAACAGGATCCAGCCAAGCCCTGTGTTTTACAGACACCATTTTTTACAAAATGCCATAGGTGTTGTTGCTGATCTCCACCGTATACATAAATCCACGCATGTTGAATTTAAGGGCTTTGTTTCACAGCCTGAATCTTCTGCCTTGTTAGTTGTCTCACACCTTTCTCTGGGCCCTCTTCCTACCAGCCTTCTCCACTCCCCAGGAAGGGCAGCCCTGGCTTATGTGTTCCCCCTCTTTTTCATCCTGCAGTGCTGGGGGCCCCCCTCCTCACCAATACCCACCCCAGGGCTGGGGCAATACCTACCCCCAGTGGCAACCGCCTGCTCCTCATGACCCGAGTAAGTAAGGCCGTTCATTCGAGGGGCAGTTCGGGGCCTGGGCACGAGGCTGGCTTCCTGTGTCACTCCCTCAGCCCGCACTGTTCTCTTCCTACAGATAAAGCTGCCGCGGCCGCTGCAGACCCCAATGCAGCCTGGGCCGCCTACTACTCACACTACTACCAGCAGCCCCCTGGCCCCGTGCCTGGCCCTGCACCGGCCCCCGCAGCCCCACCCTCGCAGGGCGAGCCCCCGCAGCCCCCACCCGCCGGCCAGTCGGACTATACTAAGGCCTGGGAAGAGTATTACAAAAAGATCGGTGAGTGCAAGCACTGCCTCGGGCTCACCTCAGCCAGAGGGGTGGGAGGGCAGCCGTGCCCCCATGCTGTCCTCTGACCTCCGTGCCCACCTCTTGCAGGCCAGCAGCCCCAGCAGCCTGGAGCTCCCCCGCAGCAGGACTACACAAAGGCCTGGGAGGAGTACTACAAGAAGCAGGGTGAGTTACACACAAAAAATAAGTCATGGGATGTAGTGTGCAGCACGGAATGTAGTTGGTGGTATCGTTATAACTTTGTATGCAAACACATGGTTATCAGACTCTGGGCACGTGGTAAGGAATATAACTGGCCAGTGGTGGATGTACAGCTGAGACTAACAATATTGGATGTGTCAACCACACTTAATGTAATTTTTTTAAAAAGCAGGCTGAGCCGGTGGGGCCTGGGGTGGGCAGGGCCAGGCCCATCCTTGCGCCCAGCCACACTCAGCCTGTCTTCCACAGCTCAAGTGGCCACAGGAGGGGGTCCAGGAGCACCTCCAGGCTCCCAGCCAGACTACAGCGCCGCTTGGGCCGAATATTACAGACAGCAAGCCGCTTACTATGGACAGACTCCAGGTCCTGGCGGTCCCCAGCCTCCACCCACACAGCAGGGACAGCAGCAGGCAAGTGGGAATTGCCACCCTCCTCCTCCTCCTTTTTCTTTCCAACCCCCGGCCACCGTCCATCCTGCCTTAGTGGGTAGCGCCGGAAACCCCTTCCCCTGCGGGGTGTGTCCTTGATGCCTGCAGCGGGGCCATGTGGCTGGAGGTCTCCGGGAGTCCCCAGGAGCCGGGGGAAGTGTGCGCTGGGTCCAGAGGTTAAAGAAGAGGCCTCCCTCCGCCGGCCCGCTTGTTCCTGTGTAACGCTGTCGTGATGCTGGGGGAGAGCGCGAGACAGATAAAAGGTGGAACTGTTGAACTGGTGGGTAGTCCTGGGGGTGGGGGCCGGCCAGCCGGCCGCTGAAATGTTGGTCACCAGCCTGGCGGCTAACTCACTCAGAATCTGGCCACTTGGGAAGAAAACGGATAATTTTTCCCCTCTCTGTGTTCCTTTTTTGGTTTTTATTCTTTTTATTTTTAAACCCACGATCTTCCCACCCCGGTGTCCAAGTGACTGTACAGGCAGCCCCAGCATGGGGCAGCCCTGGCTCCGGTGGGGACTTGGGGAGCCTGCCAGGGGGACGGCCCTGGGCTCCGCCTGGGCTTGACGTCGGCTCTCGTGCCTGTCTCTGTGTCCCGGTCTTGTCTGTGAAGTGGGCATGACGATCGCTGCCACCTTCCAACCTACCTCACAGGGGTGTTGTGGGGACACCGTGATCTCTGAGATTGTTCATGTTGTGATGCGCCGGGAGCTGCCCACCTTCCCCCCTCCAAACCCTGAATGGGCCTCTCTCTCTTTCTCTTTCTTTCTCTCTCTCTCTCTCTCTCTCTCTCTCTCTCTCTCTCTCTCTCTCTCTCTCTCTCTCTCTCTC